ATAGGAATCAAATATTCTATTAAAGTCAAGTATAGGAAAAGAGAGGTTAACTAAAAATTGGCCACACTAAATTCAAAGACAGACACCTATTATGATAACAATGACAAATTTATCTTTATGACAACAAACGTTTTCTTTGAAAAGTAGTCCTTTACCCGCTTCTCGATTTTTTTCTAATAGTGGACGGGTGCTATCTACGAAAGTGAAAAAACAATTACTAAATAATAATTATAGTAATACTATAATAATAAAGTACGTGTGTTTATTGCTGGATGGAGTGAATCAATTTTAGGTTTCTCGTGAATTATTTTAGGTGCGTTTAACCACTGCTTATGCCCGACATACAACACAAACACAAAGTCGAAATTGATTTATCGTTCCGGAAAATTTATATGAAACAATTGGTCTATTTTCAAACCCTATATCAACGGAATTTCRCATCTTGAAAAATTAAAATACGCAGTGTTATRTAATGTAAGAATGCAAATATTTAGGTAGGTAAGTTAAATAACCTTTGAAGTTGACAATGAAAATAAACGAGAGAAAAAATAAATATTATGTCCTCTATCGGACGAGAAAGTTATTACATTATTGTATTTATGTTTATATACGTTATTCTACAAATATTTAATTAAGATCCTCGTCGTATACTCGTACAGGTCTCACTAGTTGTAAAGTAAATATATACGCTGTAGACAGGTATTTAAGTTTGACTGAACATGTAAATTATTTCGATTTCGTTGAACCGGACGTTAATTCGGTGGTCCAATTCAATAATTTAATCGATTTCCACATCACGATGATGTTTTCGAGTAATTTATCAAATTTTTACTCGGTGTGAAAGATAAGCAAATTAATATTGACGATAAATTTAAATAAAATTACGTTGTATAATTATAATGTATACTAATGTTATAATATTATGTATCATCGTTATACGTTTTAGTGACAAATTCGTACTCTGTGAATAAGTACGTTATTATATATATATATATATATATATATATATTATAATATAGTGCTTTCGCCTTTCAGCTATAATTTTTAATCGGATTATATTTTATCTGCCAGAGGGTTCGCAACAGAGAAAATATACTGAGATTATATTTTTTAAAACTACTTAGCATGCGCATATTTAACCAAAACTGCACTCCGCAAGAAGTGTACATATACATTATGTTGTCAATTTATTATTTATGTGATGTACAAATAATAATACGATAATTCTTTATTACAAATTATGAATTTCTCTTAAACATTTTAAGTTTAAAATGATCTAACAGTTTCCAATAGAATTTCACAATATTCTTTCGTTTTCATTAGGTTTCGTATCATATGTTATAAATTTGCGTAATTTGCAGGTTAATATTTAAAAATTGTGTTCAATATTAAAATCATTATAATTTAATCTATTGGCTCAAATATTGTGCTGTTAATATGTCGATAAAAATAAAATGTTTAAATGWGTTTTTCGGAGAAAAAATTRCGGTTACGCTATATTATATTAGGTAATAATTATTTTTATAATTAGTAAACAAAACAATATGCACATTACAATTTACAGGACGAGAGAATAACTTTTTATGTTATTAAACTGTAGTTGTTCTAATTTTAAAAGATGTATCAGTGGTGCGAAAAAGTCATCTAATACACTTATATTGCACTTAATAAACTGCMCTATCCAAAACAATGGAAAGTCAAACGTAAAAATATTATGACAAATACTAATTTTGCAGTYACAACGAAACTCCCAAATTATCTTCCACGTGAGTGTGATTCCATGCAGAAAAGATACTTGATTTCACATAACCCATTTGATAAGTCATTTAGATGGGTAGTATATATTGCAAATCAGAAGATAGTGATAAACTGATAAAGTTTGTGAATATAATAAATTAACATTATGATAATAATATTTATTTTGTAATAATATGATCATTTAAAAACAAATACACTCACCGAAAAAGGCACCGAACGCGTGTTGTCRGTGGGTATCGGACGGCGGGGAAGACAACAAGTGGCGTTTGTGACTATGCGTCACGGAAGGCTAAGCAGTCATCGGGTTCGAAAGCATCACCATCACCAACGGCAATCCGAAGGTTCAACATCGGTTCAAATAATAATWATTATTATTTTGTTCTAGTGCACACGAAAATATTTCGCCGACGTGCACAAATATATTATAATTTTGTTAAAAATAAAACGTTCTTGATTCGATAATATATATATATATATACCAAATACCAAACTACGACGACGACGAGGACGACGTAAATGGTACAGGTCCTGTCTGTCTGTCCGTCCGTCCGTCCGTCCGCCGACGATGGTCCGCCAAAACTGATTCCCCGGCACACGACAAACGACGACGGTTCGTGCAGTGAGCACCGGCGGCGAGACCATCGGCACCAACCCCGTCCACCCCATCATCCGGCCACCATCCCCYGCCCGACACGCGGTCCGCGTCAGCCCCGACTTTCCGCAAACTACCCTCGCGCAGCTCCAATCCATCCACCCCCACCCCTTCAGCCACAAACATCCCTCTAGTAACGCCACGCGAGGGATGCTGAGCGCGCTGCACGTCGTTCGCGGATAGGATGCGGCGGCTATGATGATGTATATAGGACTTTCCATTCGTAGCACACCCTCTCTCGTCATCCGAGCGCCGACATTGCGCCGCCGTCCGGTTAGTTTATATGTACGGCGGGGATGCGCGGTAATAACCCGACAGCGTAATATTAATACCGGAAACTTCTTCAGCGTGTTCATACATTTTTTCTTCTTCATATTTTCCGGCTTTTTTCCCCCGCCGTCACGTCACTTTTTTTCCTAACAGGTCCTCTGTTTCGGACCCAATGCGTGACAGGTGGACGGTGCATACATCATGCATAATATGGTACCCRCGTACGTACTATATACGTATCCGAGTCATTTCCGAGTCCGTACTACGAAGGTCGGAATGGTCGGRAAATATAAYAGTATGCACATGACGACACTATCCGTCGTTTATAGAGAAATGATTATACAAACTATTAATTATTAATTATTCATACATACATTCAAATACATGTATATATAGTACTATAGTAGACAGTGTGTGACAGGTTGTTGGAGATTTAATTGAATATAATGTATATATGTTCGGCTCGGATGGTTTTCGYGTTTGATCGGCGTAGATGCACACCGAATAAGGGATTCAGYTACACCTGCTATATCGATGCACTGTACCGGCGCATTTAGGAAATCTAGATGTACCTGCGTACATAATTATCCAATTGTATCAAACAAAATAAAAAATTCAATATCATAAAGACATAGTATTATATTTATGCGCAAAAATTGTATTTAAAATAATACATGTTTTATTTTTTTACAGCGCCCTCTCGAGAAGTGCGTTTAAAATACACGAATTCGTCGGCCTACCCCCTCCGCGCCATTTCCCATCSGGAAATACAATATATACTGTAATATCCGTTATATTTATATATATGTTTTATGGTTGATGTACATAATGTGTTGTTATTAACAGTGTTTTCCAGACAAACCATGACGTTGTATCCGGGACCGAAAAGCTTCAAATAGGTCGTGACAATAATATTTAATGTACGCACTGGTATAATTGTTTAGATTTCGAAACAGCATCCTATAAATACACATTCCTGGGGCGTTATAAATACGACGCCGTCGCCGCTGTGGTGTATACAAAATATAATGTATCGCAGTAATCGTAACAATAAATAATAATTTACTAATGTCTACAGCCGTTTCCAATAAATTGKTTTTTTTTCTTTCGTTCTCGACATAATATATCGTCGGTCGCTATTATCACTTTCATCAAGGATACAAATATTATTATTATTATATTATATTAATTGACCGTAAGTTCTAAAATATACATTGAAACCATCACGATGTATATTATTATTATTATTATTATTATTATCAGCCTCCCATATACACATAGGTACACATCACASAATTGTTTTGGGTACTAAACCACTTATCTAACCCTTATTCACGGTGCAATATTGGTACCCGCTCAAAATAATTAGCAATGAATATAAATAATACATGTACGCATTCACTACACGAGAGCTGTAGGTACCTAACGGAGTAATATGTTATACCAATGTGTGTTGTACTAATGTGCGTACAATAAAAGCTATCTCGATCAGAGTAATTGGAATGGAATCGTCAAGTCATTAAATATTTATAAAATAGAGTGCTGGGAATTTTTATTATAATCAAAAGCAATAGTAAAATGTATCTACTGTTTCACTAAAAACCTGGAGCTCAGCTTACTCTTAAAAATTGCATCTTGCTAGATGAATATTTTACTTCAAATCAATCTGAAAATACTGCTGAGTGGTTCACTCGGATTGTATCTATTGTATTTATTCAAATACTGATTTTTGTACAGTACACTTACCAATATTTTGAAAAAGTTGACGGGTACATTTAAATTTAAATTTAAATAAATAGTTTCTGAATTATAAAACTTTAGGTACCTATTCCAAGGGTAATAATCCCTAAATAATAATGTGGCTGTACATCAACCATCTAATATATTTATTTATGTATTATTCAATGTAGTACTTATTTTAATACTCTGGCAATTCTAACAAACATAAAATTAGTTATACTTATAATTGCTATAATTTTTAGTCATCATTACTGTGGACTATTACTGTGTAGTATAACATGATCGACGTTTAATGCTTCTGAAACTACTCGTTTGAATTTTGTGGTATGTAGAATAGTAGATACGCTTATTTTTTCATATAAACTACTTACAAACGTAAAAAAAAAGTKTATCAGAAAAAAAATATGTTTTTAATTTCTATAGTCATAAGACAAACTTTGAATGGCATAAAAAYCTAAAGATCTGAAAAAAATAATGCTAGATCATACTTGTAAATTCCAAAATTAAGAATTTTTATAAGTGCATTATTAAAGCGAAAAAAATAGTGGTGACAACACTTATTATAGCTGACCACTATGTATATTTTTTATCTATCTACAATACACTGGTCTTAAAAKACTTCCGATGATAAATAACTCTGATGTGTTCATACCAAAGAGTAGAATTCTGCGGAAGCATCGTCCTGATCCACCATCAGCTCATCACTGTTTTTGGTTTTTTTGATAAATTTTGGCGAAATAGTATTGTTTCCAACACGTAAAATGATAAAATGTTTGTAGAAAAATATAATATCCAATATTGTTTTTCAAATTGATTTTATTAATATCATTCAAAATATACGGTACCGTAAATAACATACCGATTTTCAATATGATTAAAATAAAAAATGATCAATGACATCATATTCAGATAAAAATAGTTATTTGATGAGTCTTTGTTTGGATCAAAAAAAAAAAAATGTATATATTTATAATGGTATGAAATTTATTTTTGCATTATTTTGAATTACAAAACAGAAAAATAAATATTGTAAAAATTATTTTTGAATGCAACATTTTTAAACATTTCGGTAAAATCAGTGATGAATGAATTAATGAATTACGTTTTGACACGCATTCGTGGAACTGGGTAATAGTTATCGTATTATTTCTAATTCATTTCGTCAATCCATTTAACATTATCATTCAGATCTAACTAGCACGCGTGATACCGACGATTAATTTAATTAAATTTAAAATTATATTATTTTCTATAATCATTTTTAACACGTTACTATTCAACATTGCCTCGAGTGCCCTACAAAAACATCGAAAAATAAATTTTTATTAATAATATTTAAACGTGTTTTCGTAATATCGTAATGTACATACCATTAGGTTGGGCARTTGTAGCGAAATTATTAGATGTATATAATGTATATAGAAAAATATATACAGTCRTTTAAAAGCGAGACATTTTAAAATTCAATCGTCAAAACGGATTTGTTTTTTATATCAATTATATAGGCRTCTGATCTCTTACCAAAACACCGTACATACAAAATAATAACAATAATAATAATATTATTATTATAACCTTCCGTCGCCGCGTAACCCAATTACCCAATAATGGTGACAYATTTTTCGTAATGAATTCCAATGCCAATCATCCTTATACCTTCAGTCACATTTCTTAATATAATATTAAAATACCTTCATACACACGCGACGATARCGATGATTTAGCTGGTTGAATAATTTGAAATTGTCGCGTTAATTAATATAATATTACAAATCCTTTTTTTAATTGGATATCCTTATGGGTTTGTAAAAATGATTCAGTGTGCTAACGACCACGGTGACCTGCGCGGATAAAAATRTTACACAACGACAGTTCTAAATGTGCAATATTGTTATAAATTGCGAATAGCGCCTTGCCTACTTAACTGCTTAGATATATGAAGTGTGCTGGGCATCGGTTTTTTTCTATTAGATGTTTACGATTTTATTGGCTACAACAACACAATAATTGTTTTTTTCACATAGGCATTAACTAGAATAAAAAATAAATAAATTACTGTCGTAAAAAAAAAACCACAAAAAAAAATCAAGAAGTTGTATAATGCACGAGTCATCGAACGTGCAGCCCTCTGCGTATCAAGAGTTTAGTTGCGCATAAGCCAGTATACAGGGGTGATTCAAGGGGTTCAAACAATCCCTCCCTGAAGATTTATACTGAAGTACTATGAATGTATAAATGATGAAAGTACTGAAAAAGTCGATCACCCTCTATCATTTCTACCAGTCGARCTTCTTCTACACTCTACTTTTTCCACATCGCTGCCTTATGTCTTACAATAATTATTATTATGTATAAGCAACGACCCACGCAGTACCTGTAATTGATACTACGCTGACGGTTACGAATGCATTGCAGTATTACATTATATTCTTCTGTTTTAGATGAAACGTCGATCGCATCTCCGAGGGGAAATACTCTTTGGAAATCGTATTTAGTGTATGAAATAACTTGCAGGACTCTTCTCGGGTCTTATATTCCATCTATCGCGGTATTTTCAAAACGAAAAATATACGTTTAGATCAGGGAGCCTCATTTTCCGACGGTGTGTAATTAATCCACGGACACCCGTCTTAAACAATTAACTCCTAAATCGAAAAGACCACGACGACGAACAATGTTTTTTAAAAGTCCAACAACTTTTAAACAATATTTTTATTTTTTTTATAAGTTTATKAAGGTTTCAACAACACAGGTTTTTATCCTACTTTAATCAAAAGTTAATATTTTATACTGTCGTTTATATATATTTTAGGTAAAGATTTTTACGATATTAACGATATTTAAATATATTTGTATATAACTTTGAAATATCCATAACTAT